ATAGTACAAGTCATAAGCTTATCTCATATGTAACTATATTACTAAACCCTTTGACCTGAGATCATCATGGGTTTTCTCCATGATGACTACTGAACTTTGACCTAGTCAAAAGTCACCTTTGACCAAGTGATCATAAAGGCTTGATTGAATTTAGTGATATTCATACAGAGGAATATGCATGGTTAAGATAAAATTTATCCCTCACATCAATTGAGAGATATTATTAGGCCCTTCGATGAGTAAGACTAAGAAAATATAAGGCCATACCATAATAGAAAGGGTTTTTTTTCATTATTATGTTAGTTCACTTAAAGATTGAGAAAGTAATGGTTAGATAAAGGAGAATGACAATTCCATGTCTCACATTTGACTGAAATATTACGGAATAAAAGAAATGTGATAAGGTTACATGATAGATTACATTAGATCATTAATTTCCATATGAATTGGATAGTTGCAATGTTTTGTTAGAGGTCACTTGTGACTTATGGGTTAATAGCATAATTAGCCTATTGCCAACTTCATATGGGCCTACAGGGTTGCATAAAAGAACAATCAAACTTGAGCTATAATGTCTAAGTTCATTAAATTTGAAATATGTCTAAATTCAATAAATGCAATATAGGGTGAATGAATTATATATATGTATTTAAATATTTATTTAATAAATATTTATAGATATTTATATGAAATATAAAATATAAAATATAATTATATATACATTTTGAAATATATATATATATATATATTCACTATGAGTGTGTATCTGATATATATATATATATATATATGCATGTATGTATATGTATATGTATATGATATATGAAATTAAATATATATAATATAATATACATACATATATATATATATATATTTGTAATATATATATGTGTGTGTGTGTGTGTGTGTGTGTGTGTGTGTGTGTGTGTGTGTGTGTGTGTGTATTCGTGTATATACATAATATAATATGGATATGTGATTTATATTGCGTTGGTTTTAAATTTAATTTTATATGATATATTAAATTTAATAACTACATGATATGAGAGAATATCATGTCATTTTTATAATTTAAATTTATAAAATAAATTCAATTTAGATATGATATTGTAGATTAAATTTATGAGATAAATTTAATTAATTTTTATGGGCTCTTCAAGTGGAAGATGAAAACCCTAATATATATATATATATATATATTATATAATATAGACGTGCATGATGGATGTATGAGAGTTAAAAAAGTTCTAATGGTTAAACACTTCGAGAGTTACAAAACATCCTAGAGAAAGGAAAATCAATATTCAAAGAAGAATGAACGTTGAAAGTATTAACACACTGTTTGAGTTAGAGAGATGTTTGGGTGGATACTAGTAGAGGGAGCAAATCTATATTGTCGACTCATAAGATCTAGACTCTTAAAAAGAACACATGTGAAGCAAGAAAAGAAAAAAAGTAACTCTTCTTTCCACCTTGACTTAAATGATTTCATTCGATCCACATCAGAATTGTATATGCAAAATATTATAGGGGGAAGAACAAAAAATTCTTAATTAGGATAAACAAGAAGAAAAAGAAATTCATATCAAGAGAAGCCACACAACATGAACTCAAAGAAGAAACAAGTTGTGTTTGATCTAAAGAAGAAAAGCAATAACCACCAAGCCACGATTTTGATAAACACAATATCAAAGAAGAAAAGCAATAGCCACGAACACTATAGCTTATTAGAGATAGAGTTCTTGAGTTTGAAGAAGAAACCAGGATCATCTTTGAGCCACGATCATCCATAAATGCAAGCTAAATAAATGCTACATCCAGGTCAATGGCATCCTTGAGTGTTAGAGTTGTCGGAGCCAGAGGCTCATAGCGAGTCGGGGACTATTGAGTGTTGACTAGAATAAGAGCAAAAGGGTTTCAAATGGAAGAGTGGAGACTTTGAGACACATTTCAACTCGAGAGTGTAGAGAAATTAGGTTAGGGTTTCTACTATCTGCAAGCATTTCTTCTTTCTTGGAATGAAATGAGAAGGCAGGGGCGGACAATATTGAAATGGGTATTGGGTAAGTTAAAAAAAAAATAAAATAAAATTTACACCCACTACTCGGCGAGACAGGTGTTGGTAGCTAGCTGCACATTAACATAATTTTTTTTATTTTTTATTCACCTAGGGTCCGGTCGGGCAACACTGTCTAACAGTTCAACCTTGACCCTGGTCTTGCCCGATTGTTTAACCTGGCCCCACCATGCCTGATATTCTTCGGGCAGCTTTTTCATCCATCGGGTTAGGCATTTTATGGTTGGGGTCGGGTCGGGCATATCGAGTTTTCGAGCACCCTGAACAGCCCTAATTGAATTTACTTAAATGTTTATAGAAAAGTATTGTTTTCCAATGTTCAGTGTTGAATTTTAGAAGATCAATTAATTTTTTTTATTATTAATTGTAAATTTGGGAACATGAGTATCAAATATCCTGTAACATTATAAATGAATTAAAAGTTTGTTTTTAATGTTTTATGTTAAATTTTAATAGTGTAGTTGCAATCATTCTATCGTAATTTATAAATTATATTTTATAAAAATAATTTGTAGATTATTAAATTTTAATAAACAGTTGGCCAAAAAAGTTAAATTATAATAAATCACGCCTCTCTTTTTTCCCACTAGGGACAATTTTAGGAAGCATGTCTTTTTCTCCAAAATCTATCAAGCTTTGAAGAGAGAACTTTTCATGTGCTTGCCTTTCTTTATTTTCTCTCGTTATCTAAACAAATAATATATACTTCTCTTCCTATTTTCTCCTTTAAATTTTCTTTTTACCTATTTTTTCCTTTCCAAATGTAGGAATAAAGTAATTTTAGGTTAAGTGAGGAAAAAGATATACGTATGATGGTAACTTTACAAACTGTAAACTTGTTTGTTTTTTCGTTTGAAAAGTGCTTTGTAAAAAATTATGATTTTTTCTTCTTACAAACATTGCCTCGAATTTTTTAAAAAATCACATTTGAAAATGAGTATGATAATTCTAAAAAAGAAATATAAAAATTGTAACTTTCTCTACCTCTGTGAAACTCTAGTCCCTTGCGCTTTTATAAATGAAAGAATTGTCTAAATATTTTAAATAAGTTATAACTATTCTAAAACAATTGAGTCTCACGATTTAATATTTTTTTTTTCATTGGTTCGACTACTTGCTTTTTTTTTTTTAATTTTTATTTGAAACCATATTACCAAGCAAAGCAAGCTTGAAGGAAGCATATAGTACTCTCCCTCAAGCTTGTTTGCTTAAGTAGTGAAGCAAGGTTATTATAATTGCAAATTGCAATGATGATGTAGTATAACAACTTTTTATTGTGCGATGTGAATGTAATGGACCGTTCCAGATTTCAGTACAAAAATAGTATTTTAAAAATTAGTAAAATTGCTAAAAAAGTATATTATATTATTTATATTATATATATATATATATATATGTATGTATGTATTAATTTAGTTGCCATAAGTTCCATTAATTATGACTTTTGGACTGATAAATTCTGAACGAGTATTTAAACTAGGTTCAGTGATGCGATTAGTCGCTAATGCTAATTATTAAAACAATAGTTATATATCATGAGTGCATTAAAAAAAGACTTCAACTCTTTAAAGTTGAGATTCGTGAAATTTTATTATGTTTTTATATCTTTATTTATTGTATCATTTTTTAGAAAATATAAAATATTTCTTAAAAAAGTAAAATTTGTCAAATTCATGTATTTTTAATTAAATTTTAGAATATACATTTCCTTCAAAGAAAGTATCAATACAATGTGAAGATGGGTTTAATTGAATTTTTTTTGAACAATGGCTTTGATTGAATTATTGTAACACGTATTTCCTCAAATGTGTACTAGCTGCTAAAAGAATCAACCCTTTTTCTTTACGAACAATAAAAGTTATAACTCATCTCAAAGGCAAGACATGTGAATATCGTGCTCAATCATTCACCCCCACAAACATATTTTTGATGTGTATATATAAAATATATAAGAAATCACAAAAATAATAAATAATATATTTTAATATTTCAAAAATTCTGTACAAAATATGAGCTCATAATTTTTTAGATTAAGAATTATTTTCGCCCTCAAATTTTTTACGCAGGGTTTGCAAGTTTCCTCATGGAGATTTGAATTATTTTTATTTTTGAACTGATAATATTTAGTGCCTATTCTGGTCATTCACGTGCTGTTTGTTAACCATGATCTACTCAGATGGATGTGTTCAAGTGGCATCCCAATGGATGCATTTCAAGACATTTCTAGTTTGGTTTTTGTTTTGAAGTTTAAGAGGAGAATTGACCCAAAAAATTGAATTCATGACACTCGTAAACCATATGCAAAAAGTTTGAGAGCGAAAATAATCTTTAATCTTTTTTTTTTTGTTTGCTCATATGTGTTTTTTTAATGAAGGTAATCCTATTTGAGATATGATTAAATACTAAATATGAGCTCATAATTTAATTAGATAATGAATTTGTTGGTCTTACATGTTTGATAAAATTTTGGGAGAATAACAACTAAGAATCTTTTAATAATGTTAAAACTAAATCAGGATTTTTTTTAAAAAACAATTTAGTACTGAAATGTAGGAAGACGAATACTTATAAATTTGAAAACCTAAGTTATCATAAAAATCATGATTATTTGACATTAATTTTTTCATAAGGTGCTTAAAGTTATCATTCTCCCTTTAATTTTTATCAATTTGGTCAATCAATTTTATTTTTTAATACTAAAATCATTTAACCGTGTCCACATATAATATTTTGAATGCGATCTACATATACGTCCTGCTTAAACCACAATTTATCCCAAACATTGCTGTCCTCACCCCAAAATTTAACAAAGAGCAACCAGATTTCCCATTACACACACATCTATATGTCTTTACATATACATATACATATATATATATATATATATAGTATATATATAACCTTGTGAGAAAGTGGAGGGAAATGTACTGCAGAGAACAAACAAAGAAATGAAACCCTCATCTTTATTTTCCTTCTCTCTCATATTAATCCTCTCTCTTAGTTCTTTCTCCTCCATAACCGCAAATAATAACCATGTCGATCTCATAGCCCAAACCTGCAAGAATCTCTCAAAAACTGATCCAAACATAAGCTACAGATTCTGCAGAACTTCTCTCCAATCAGATCCTCATAGTCGCTGTGTTCGGAACCTTCGCGAGCTCGGCTTCATCTCTCTCAAACTTCTCAGGCACAACGTTACAGAAACTAGGGTTCATATCAAGAACCTCTTGAAGACGGCGACAATGAAGAAGAAGAAAGTGGACCCGTTTATCAAAGAATGCTTGGATGATTGCTTTGAGGTGTATTCTGATGCCATCTCTTCCCTCAGAGACGCCATTAAAGATTACAAGGCCAAGCTTTATGCAGATTGTAACGTTAAAGTAAGTTCAGTCCTTGATGCCTCCACGACGTGTGAAGATGGGTTCAAGGAAAAGGACGGCGTCGTTTCGCCGTTAACGAAGAGAAATGGCGATACGTTTCAGCTGTCGGCTATAGCACTGTTCATCATCAATCCGCTCAATAAATAAAATATTTATTTTCAAAGTGTTTTTGGGTTTCTCGTCTTGTTTGGGTTTGCAGGTTATTTGGTTCTTCATTAGATTTCTTATATATTTATAATTTATAATATAATTATGATATAATTATATGATTCCACAGTCTTGTGGTGTATATATGCTTGAGATTATGTATACGTTTTTCTCTTTATTTGTTTGCTTGAGCTATGGAATAAGGATAAAGATTGGGATTTCTTGTTATCACATAATTTTCATTTCACAAGATTTAAGGAAATTTTTTCGTTTTTACTTCGATGCCAAGTCACCATCTTTTCCAAATATGTCAAGTATTTATTTTATTTAGGCAATTATATAACTTCATTTTCTTCCTTCATACTTTCTCTTGTTCAATATACAATCAATTTTTAAGAAAAATTTGCAAACCATTAAAATCCTCGTTCTTAAAAAAGTGTAGATTGTTTTTTATTTTTATTCTTACACTCAATTACCACTGTTCATGATAAATAATATATAACTTTATATTTAGGCAATTATAATTGTTTTATATTTACTACTCATCTATCCCTATATATAAGAGGTATTCTAAAACCTTTCTTTATCCTTAAATATAAGAGATTGTTAACATATTTTTTAATAAATGGACCACATTTTACCCTTTTTAAATTGAAAAAAAAAAGATAAATACTCTCATTAATTTACTTTAAAAAAATTATTTTTTATTCATAATAATTAAGAATAAAATTGGAATGTTGCTTTGCTTTTACTTAGATAATTAACTTTTATTAGTTTGTGTAATTTAGTTAAAAACATCTTATATATAGAGAAGGAGGGAGTAAGTTGTTTATATTTTGAACTAAAATTAATTAACAAAAATAATTATATTTTAAACTAGAGGGAATGCTTTTTATTTTTTAGTTTTTCAAAATGCAGTGTATACAAATACTTTGGTGACTACAAAGTTGAAATTTGCGTCTGTCCTTCCAGTTTTATCCAATTCACCTACAACTTCAAGAATTATTTCATTAATTAATATTATTTAGAAGATACTTTAATTTAATTAAAAATGATTTGTTTTCTTGCTCCTTCCATGTTGATAGCAAGTTGCCTTATTAATTAGTGGGAGAGCAATTATAGATCAATGGAATATAATTTATTGTCCATTAAGGACAACTAAGTTGGAGTTAGAAAGAAAAATGAAACCCAAATAATATTGCGCCACGTGGCTTTGTTGCCTAACCTCATGGAAGCTGAAGCGCCATTAGGTAATTAAAATTTTAAAGACCTAACGGTAGTTAAGTCTAGCCACGGTTTGGCCAAGCGCCTAACTGGATGTGATACGGCCCCTAATAATAATAAACCTAAATTAACTTTGAATCTTTTTCATGAACTATATCCAGTCCTTACCATACATCAAACTCAATCAATTCCCGCTTGTTAAAAAAAAATTAAAATTTTATTTTTAAAATTGTTAAAAGCACATGTCCAGTTTCTCTGCTGTTTATTTTAAAATATAAGGCAAACTTTGATTATTTTTTTTTTTGGTCCTTAATACGAGAGGGGGCTAGAATAATGAATATTTTCTAATTTTATCCCTTATTTCTTTGTTTGTTATCATTTGAATTCTTGGACAACAATTTGAGAAAAGATCTATATACTTAACCTTATATATTTAATATATTTTTGTCCAATTAAATCAAAACAAATAGACTTTAAAATATTAAAACTATTAATAATAAGGAAAATTTTTTAGGTACACCAAGTATAAAATCACCTAATTAACTCCACATACTTAATTGAATAACCAAACATCACCATAGTAATTAGAGGTCAACTACCTTAATCACCTTACTATGGTAAATAAGGTTTAATTGCAGTTAAAAAGAGCTAACCATGTTAGAAAAGGAAAAACACAGGTTGAAGATCTATTATGATTAAAATGAATGTATGAATTTTTCAAACCATTTGGATCCCAAATTTAACCACTAAAGAAAATATTAATAAGCCCCAACCAAACATAAATCATAGTTGGAAAGCAATTGGAAGCGTGGAATACCATTTCAATTAAATCCAATTGGGAAAAAGGATAAAAATGACATTTTGACAATTTTAGGAGAATTTGCCATGGCCAACACACATTCCACCATGTCTTAACCTCCATCATGCCGTGCAACACGATGCTAGTGCCATACACCATGGCATATTACACAAGCACAAAGATATCATTGTGCTATCTTAACTCAAACTTGGGGACAAACTTCTAACATGCTCCAATTCTCCGTCCAACATTCGATGGGGGTGATTTAGGTGTTCGCATAGGGTTTTAACAATGAACTAGCTATGGGTATTGATTTCATATTTAATTTATATCATACCAAAACAGTTGGACACCTGGACTCAAAATAACTCCTTTTTCACATTTAAAAACTTTCAAGATGTTCAAACTCTAACCAAAGTCCCAATAACCAAAACAACCACTTAGGCCAAACCCAATTGTTTTAGGACAACTTGTACCATGTATCACAACAGACATATCTAGTAAACTTTTCATTTTCAATCCTCAACTCCATATTCAGCAAAAGCAAGAGGAGGTAAATGGCATAAGTTCATAACGTAAGATTCTAGTATAGCATAGTTACAATGAACAAAATTATCATCAACATACTTGTACTAGTATTTAAGCCGTAATCAAGTAGTGATAGCTCATACAACCAAGCTTAGGGCACCAAATACAACCAATCAACACATGTAACATGCAATGGTGCAAGTAATCAAAAGAATGACCTTAGTTGAAAATTTCATTATCAAATTACACAAATGATTAACAAAAAGAGAGGCATACAGTGGGAATAAAAAATTCCTAAGCCTCAAATGTCTTTCCCTTAGCCTGCTGGGAGCTAATTCTTGCAAAATAATGAGATAAAGGTGAATACAACTATTCAATAATCAAGAAAAAAATCTAAATCATGCACATGCAAGTCAAATTAATTAGGGCATGCAAAGTGGACAAATGAAAATCAACCAAAGATGTATCTCTATGTCATATTAATTACATGATAATATAAATGCATGATCAAATATTTCTTATTTCCTCCATATATTGCCAATTGAATTAGTGAGTTAAAAATTTATTGGGACTAAATCCATGTAAATGGACTAGCCTAAACTCACCAATCATAAGGAGTCACCTGGCTACAAGTGCTATGCTTACTCTCAGACCACATATTCTCCCAATTCTAAAGTCCATTGGGGTGTCGCATATCCCACCGTTCCCCTAGTCCAAGGTGAGGTTGAGGACAAGGTTTAGGTAATCTATGCTTATACCTATTTCTAGGTGAGATTCAAGAAGTTCTAACCTATAAACCAGCTTATTGGGCTCACCTATGGTGTTAGTTATATAATTTCACATGGAAATAAATCACTACTCCTCTTAGGGCAACTTCTTACCTAATATGATGATCATACAACCATAGTCAAAGCGTCACCATGCATACTAAAAACCTTTAGCATAATCAAGCTAATTCAATATGCATATATTATCAAAATCTCATGTCAAAACATATTATAATAACATTTCTACACAAAACATTTCTTATTCAATAATGCAATCCATACTTGCATAAGACTTTGTAAATCAATAAACTATTTTATTTGAATATAAAAACATATTAAACATAGTTATAAACACCTCATTTAATCTAACAAGCAATAACTAGATAAATAATTTTTTCAGTTATCTCAAACTTTTGAAAACTCAAAAGTTACCCCTCAACACTTGCTTCTTGAGCTTAAATTGAGCTCAAAAGGTTATCCACAAGGTCAATCTATAATTCATAACAACAATAACGACTAATAACCAATAGACATAACACTTCTAACTCCCAATTACCCACTTTAAAGACCAACATTCCAGACCACAAGTGCAAACTCAAATCCAATAAGTTTATTAGTTTCATTAACTCCATTTAGCATCCAAAAACTTAAATAATAATAATTATAACACCCTACAACCTAATTTCTTCATTAGAGGGCCTAAGGTTTGTCTAACTCCAAGAAATTCAAATCCAATGAACAAGCAACAAATAGCCATTATTTTAGGAACAAAATTTAACTTCCAACAAGTCCATTTTACTTATTTAAATTGGCCATAACCACCCAAAACTAATAAATCAACCTAAGGTTCAAATTCAAGAGGAAAATCAAAAAAATCTAACTTCAAAATGAAACTAGAAGGGAAGAGAAAGGATTGGGGAACTTACCTTAAGTGATTCCTAGCTCAAAGACACTCCCAATGGCTTAAAATGTCGTATCCTAATAAAATTTCTTCTCCTTCACCAACCTCTCACTCTTATCTATTTGTTTCTGCATTTTTTGGACTTTCATAATGCAAAACTGATGTTTCAACTGTAGCTTGTTTTGTATGTTACAATTACAACCAATAATAGTTGAAGAAACTAATCCATATTTTCCCTTGTCTACAATCGTGGATAGTTATCTCTAATAAAGGACTCAATTGTGGGTGGTTGTGAATTAACTAAACCTAGAAATCAAGCCCTAGTAATCTTAATTGACCTTGGTTAATTAACTAAACCTAGAAATTAAAATTTAGGATGTTACATGAACTACCATAAAATTTATTAAATCAGACGCCTCATATTTGATGGTTTTATGATGAAAGTGACAGATAAAAAAGGTGCTAAATACTTAATGGTTGTTTCAACACAACCATCAAATATCTAAACCTATACTTGATGATTATACTGAGAAAAGCATTAAATATATATTTAAACTTAATTATTGTTGGACGAAGATATAATTTACGCTTGTTTGAAGATAAGTGTCAAATATATGTTCAATATATTTAAACAAGCATCCAATTAATTATTTTTCAAAAAAATTAAAATTAACATAATTACTTGATGCTTGTTTTGGAAACAAACATCAAGCAAGTCTAGAACATAGTTGACAGTTGTTTCAAAACAAGTGTCAAGTATGTAATACTTGACTTTTACTACATAACAATTGTCATCATTAGCATTTAAATTACCTCTAGAACACTTTTTCCTTTCATATTTCTACAACTTGAAAGTCATCCGAAACTTACCCAAACCACTCCAAACCCATTTTCCATCACTCCAACAGTCAAAACGCATGATTTCTCACTCAAATCAATGTGGGTTTTTCATTTTCAAACCCAATCATGCTCGTGGGCGCTCATTTTTTTGGAATCA